GACAGAGTCCCGCTCTGTCACCCAGACTGGAGTGTAGTGGCGCAATCCCGGCTCACTGCAACCTCTGCCTCCTGGGTTCAAGCGATTCTCCAGCCTCAGCCTCCCGAGTAGCTGGGATTCCAAGTGTGTGCCATCACACCCGGCTAATTTTTGTATTTGTAGCAGATACGGGGTTTCACCATGTTGGTCAGGCTGGCCTCGATCTCCTGACCTTGTGATCTGCCTACCTCAGCCTCCCAAAGTGCTGAAATTACACGTGACATGAGCCACCACGTCTGGCTGAATGCATATTATTACCAAGAACTCACTTTATGTGAGTTTTATTAAATCTTAGCAATAACTGTATCAAGGAACTATAATCAGCTTTGTCTTATAGACGGTAACTGAGGCTTAGATGAGGTCACCTGACTCAAGGCAATTGTGTGATCTTGCAGAATTAGTCCACGTCTGGAGTGGGTTCCTAGTCAATGATATTATTCAAGGACTGGCCTATCACACTGAAATAAGGTCAAGCAGCAGGAAACAGCAACACCAGACCAGAAGGAATTCTTTTTGACATGCTTTTGTAATGAAGCATTTTGGTGGATATTATGTTCCTGTTATGGGCTAAACTGTGTCCCCTTAAAATTCATATGCTGAAGTCCTAACCCCTAGGACCTCAGAATGTGATTATATTTAGAGACAGGGTCTTCAAAGGGGTAATTAGGTTAAAATGAGTTTGAGTGGGCCTTAATCCAAAATGACTGGTGTCATTACAAGATGAGGAAATTTAGACAGACACACAGTTACAGAGGGAAGACCACATGAAGACACAAGGGGACAGTGGCCATGTACAAGATCAGGACAGAGGCCTCGGGAGGAACCAACACAGCCAACACCTTGATTTCAGACTTGTGTTCCAGAATTGTGAGAAAATACGATTCCATTGTTTAAGTCACCCAGCTGGTGGCACTTTGCTATGGCAGCAAACTAATACAGTTCCTAAGTCACGAGCACTTGCTTCATTCCACAGAGCTCAGAGTTCAGTGACAGTCAGGAACAGCGGCATGGCTCACCCACGCCACTTTAAGACTGTCAATGACATCTGTTCAAATAAATTTATGTTCCCATCTCCCTAGGCAAGAAGAAAAATTTGTGCATTAATATGTGGAGAATAAGTAGGAGGGAAACAGGAGAGAGTTTCAGTACAGACATTTTATTCCCCTCAACCCCTATCCTCCAAAGATAAGATGTTCCCAGGGAAAATGCCCCTCGAGTAATTTTCTCGATTCTTTCTCACACACAGCAGGCACATACCTCCCTTCTAGCCAATCTGACCCAGGGCAAGAGCTTTAATGGGGGGCAGGGAGAGGAGAGGAGGAGCCATCCCTGAGGACAGATAAGGAGAGTAAGTAAGATGGTTGCTCACAGGCAAGGGGCTGGGGGTGGAGTGACATGGAGAGGGTTGGGAGGGAGGGAAAAGCAGCAGGGGCCCAGCAAAGAGTTTCCTGTGCTGCCTCCCCACTCGCTTTCTTAAGAGCCAAACCTTTCAAGTGATGTGACAAGAAGAAGGAAAAAAAAAAGGTCCAAGGATTAGGAGAATGAAAAATTAAGAGAATTTCCCTGCCCTTTTTTCCTTTTTTATACTTTCTCCAGTTCACTCTACTCTCCACCTCTCCCTCTTTCAAAATATCCTACATCACAGGTATTCTCACTGCCTATCAACCACCTATTCTGGGACCAAAGAACGGAAAGGAGGAGCAGTACATATAAAGGGGGCTGACCACAGATGGCCATACCTTCACCGCTTCCTATTGACCATACTTTGACTGTATCACAAACTCATCAGCCATCAACTAACTTACATTTGCACATCAGTTGTAGGAGACAGCTTCTGAGCTGTCTGCCAAGTCCAAACCCTCCTGCTCTGACTTCCACCTAGAGGACTGGGACTCTGGAGCACGTCCGACCTACGTGACCCCGGCCAGGAGTCCCATGGCTCAAGATGGGCAAATAAGCCTCTTACCTAGAAGTCTAATGTGGACTCACTACTCAATCTTTTTTGATTGCTGGTCAGTTTCCAGTCATTACAGGGACTATCAGTTGTCAGTTGGTTTGAGGCTAGGGGTGTCATTTTGAAGGCAGAAATTTTGTCCTACATCATACAAACAGAGAAAGTCAAAAAGAGAGAATAAAAGAGACATAGGAGGAGAGGCAGTTGTCAGAGACCAGTTGCCCCAATAAAGTAATCCTGGATCCTGTACAACATCCGTTTCTGTCTTGTTTTTGGTCCCTTGGGTTCTTCATAAAAAAAGTGTGTGTTTTTGCATAAGCTGATAGGTTTGTATTTGCAACCAAAGAGCCTTGATAAAATAGTGATTTACAATTTACTAAGCACTTGCAGGTACGATAGTTAGCTCATTTGGGACTCACAATATCCTGTGAAAATGAAGAGAGCAGTTTCTTTTACCTTGTATAACAACTTAAGACATACAGGCCCTTGAGCACTGGTAGCTGTCTTCTCAGCACCCAGTCACTACCCTGAAAGGACATCCAGGTTACCCAGGAGAGAGAGGAGGACTCAAGGAGAGGCTCTGTGAGACGAGAGACATGGAGAGAGGGGCCAGGTGAAGGAGAACTAAGGCCACCCAGGCAAACTCCCGGTGAATGTTGCTACGTGAATGACCCCAGCCAACACAACAGAGAAGAGCAGAGCTGCTCTGTCAACCCATAGAATCATGAGAAATTATAGACTGTTGTTGTTTTAAGCCATTAACTTCTGGGACTGGCTTGTTCCATAACAAGAGATACATGAAATAGATGTTAGGCAGCTTCTCCTGTATCTCAAAGTTAAATAAATACAGCTTGTCTTCAGGTCTCCTAACTGATTGCAGTGATTTATTCACTGTGCTAAGATGTGACTGAAAATGAGGAAAAATAACTCAAACGTGTCATTTAAATAACAGAAAACGAATTTTAGCTCAGAACACCCAGATGTGAAATTATCCTGTCAGCATGTAAATGAATTAAAAATATATGTATGTAAATGTGGACAGGTAGGAGAGTGTTATTAAAATACTTGGTTACATGGTTACACAATGACTAAATGCTTTTCTTCTCTGTGTTGAAAGAATTTTTTTAAAAAAACCTACCAAATACAGAATATACAACAATGCTCATAGCAGTATTAGTTCTAATAGCAAAACAAAAAAAGAAACAACTCAATTACCCAGTGAGAGGAAAAAGAACAAATCATGATATATTCATAAATAGTGAAAATAAGGAACTACAGTTTCATGCATGAATAAATCTCAAAAATATAAATAAAAATAAGTGAAAGAACAAAAACAACTTAATATCACTTATATAAAATCCCCAAAATACAACCCTTAGCAACATCTGTGGGAATACATATATAATAAAAGGAAAAATGAAAACCAAGTAAATACAAAATTCAAAATAGCAGGTTCCTTTAAGGGGAAGGAAATAGGAAACATTTGGGAAAAGGCACAGAGATGGCTCCAAACACATTGGTCATATTTCCTTTCTTTTATTTACTTATTTTTTTTTGAGATGGAGTTTCGCTCTTGTTGCCCAGGCTGGAGTGCAATGGCGCAATCTCGGCTTACTGCAACCACCATCTCCCAGGTTCAAGCGATTCTCCAGCCTCAGCCTCCTGAGTAGCTGGGATTACAGGCATGCATCGCCACGCCCACATAATTTTGGTACTTTTAGTAGAGACAGGGTTTCTCCATGTTGGTCAGGTCGGTCTCGAACTCCCGACCTCGGATGACCCGCCTGCCTCGGCCTCCCAAAGTTCTGGGATTATAGGTGTGAGTCACTGTGCCCGGCTCATATTTAAAAACAACCAAAGAATCTAGCAAAGGAAAATTAGCTTGTTCCAGATATATGTGCTTATTTCTGATACACAAAAATCAATCTAGCTCCCAAATGCTTAATATTATTTTTAAATAAAAAGGACACACTATAGAGATATATACTCGCAATTACACAGAAATAATGGCAAAGCCTCCTATAATTCATAACTCATCAAAATTGATACCAAAGGAAAAATATTTATTTAAATGTAGTGCTTAAAATATTTCATTTAGGCCAGGCATGGTGGCTCATGCCTGTAATCCCAGGACGTTGGGAGCCCATGGCAGGAGGATCACTGGAGGCCAGGAGTTTGAGACCAGTCTGGGCAACATAGCAAGAACCCATCTCTAATTTTAAAAAGCTCCCTGAAGGGCAAGGCACCAAAAAAGAAAAAATAAAATTTCATTTGGCCCCTTTCCATTAGCTTTTTGGGAGCTGCCTATATAATACCTGTTATAATTTCCCACCAACAAAATTCCCTTTAAGCTCAGGACACAGGTGCCTGTCATTCCAAGTGAGGGCCTGGTGAGTGACCTGGATTTCCCATCAATCTGCCTGTCTTGGACAGGGATCTCTGACAGGACCACACTGTGTGCTAAGAGACCCATACTCCTCTGGCAGAGCTGACTGCATCAGGAACAGACAGCTGACATAAAGCCAATCAGTCATGGTCTGCCACCTGCTTGCCTCTCCAGCTTTATTCCTACTACTCTCCTCTGAGATCGATGCATTTGCTGTATCTTTCCTTCATAGCACCTTCCACAATTATCAAATAATCATACGTTTATTTCCGTGACTACTCTTTGATACCTGTCTTTCCTCCTAAACTGTAAGCTCCATGAGGGTAGAAACAGGGCGGTCTTTGCTCATTACTGTGTTCTACCAACAAGCATGATTCCTGACACACAGCAGGTGTTCAGTAAGTTTTGTAACAGGAAGAAGTGTAATATTATGTCACCTTTTTTCTAAAGTTTTCTTTTTTATTTCATTAAACTTATATGGAAATACACCCACTTTGAGCAGACCCAAAATTAAGACAAAGGAATCAAAGCTGTAAGAGAATCTCATGTATCCTCAAAGAGGAAAACACCAAAAAATGCTACAATAAATCTGACAAGTTTAAAGAGTTTACAGAAACATACCTGAATGAAGTTGAATTTTTCCAATAACACCTTCTACCAACCCCAAACAAATGGGATTCCAGGCAAGAAGTAGATCAGTAGCTAAAAGGAAATAGGAAGCAGTGATGAGAAAACATTCACCAGAAAATATATTAAAACAATATCTTTAGCAGCATATTAAAAAAAATCAATGTCCCAAAAAAGTAGTATGAATATCCAAATGGAATACATTACCATAAAGCAGTTTGTGACAAAGTATTAAATGTGAGGCCTGAATAAGGCTTCAGATACAGTAAGGCTTCTGATAGTTAAGGGGAGAGCAGTAACAATCAGAAAATCTTCCCAGATAGGAAGCAGTACCTTGGCGCCCTACAGTGGAGGAACGGGGCCATTACACTACAAGAAGGCAAATGGAGGAGCTGCTTGTGGTCCTACAGCACAGAGCCAGTTCCGGATCCAAAGACAGGGCCTAAGAAATTGCCACAGAGCTGTCCACTTACTGGATCACACTCTGGAAAATACCTTTTCCCAAAGATGCTTATACCAAACAAAGAAATCCAGAAAGCAACTGCTCTTTTATATGACTTCCAGGACGAATACAATAGGAACTGTTTCTGTTTGAGTGCCTTCTATGTGCCAGGCATCTCAATCAGTGTTCCTCATCTAAACCACAGAACAGTGATTTGGGTGACAGTTTTCTCACTTCTTCCATATGAGAAATTAGATGACACAAGCTGGTTCCATTCTAGACACACAAGAGAGAAGCAAATTCATTACATGCAACAGATGCCTAAGGACAGGGTTGATTCTCTTGTGTGACCCAGACTGCAAAAGGTTATATACATGGTAATAAATGTAAAATTTCTGGTAGTTCAACAGGTGAAGATTAGCAAGAATGAAAACGATATGTGTCTTGGCAGAAAATTAAAATTACATTTTCATTATTATCATTTGCAGTTTATTTTAGTGAAACTTACACTTAATCTGTAACTCACAAAGTAATTATACACTTAATAGTTTAGCCCCACAAATTCATTTGAGTTTTGACTATTGTATCTTGAATGTCTTTGTTATGATACATTCAACGGAAGGCAAAAAAAGCTGACTTGTCTTTGGCTGGATGCGATGGCTCACGCCTGTAATCCCAGCACTTTGGGAGGCTGAGGAGGGTGGATAGCCTGAGGTCAGGAGTTCGAGACCAGCCAGCCCACATGGTGAAACCTCATCTCTACAAAAATTAGCCAGGCATGGTGGCATGCGCCTGTAGTCCCAGCTACTCAGGAGGCTGAGGCAGGAGAATGGCTTGAACCCAGGAGGTAGAGGTTGCAGTGATCCAAGATCACGCCACAGCACTCCAGCCCAGGCGACAGTGCAATACTGTTTTTATTGCAAGAATTAAAGCAAAAGAAGAAATTTATTTTTTAAGGCTGTTATAATGCATTATCATTTCTAATCTTGACAACTCTGAGTTAAGTTTAAGAAGTCCCACTTTACAGATGAGGAGACAAATGCTGAGAAAAGTAAAACATGGTCAGGTCATACCATGGATCGGATCAAGGCTGCTACCAAAAACCAGGTCTGCCTTTTAGCCCCTGCTCTAAACCATTCTGTTACAGTGTCTCCTTCAGAAATTATACATGGAACTAATCAGTAAGACAGTGATTTTTAAATAACATGTACTATAAAATCAAAGAAAAAAAACATCACCTATCCCACCACCCAGAGATAACTTCTTCAGCTACATTTCAGGGCGTTTGTTTGCATACATAACAAACTTCAGCACTATAAATAAGCATTATTGATGGCAGCCGCAGCCTGTCTGATTGCATCGGGGGAGGCGCAGCCAGGGCTGCACCCTCCAAGGAGCCAGCAGGGCAGAGAACAAGCGGGAGTGCTGCCCCCTACCAAGTTGGCCGGGTGGGAGCTCCATGCTCCTGGCACAGTTGCAGCCAGCAGAGGCTCCAGACCTGGGCATTCCTGCACTCTCAGGGACCCGGGAAGACCCCTCATCCCCCGCAGGCTCAGAAGTGCCTGCTCCCACTCCCTGCTCCCAGCACCTGCTCTGGTGCAGAGCGAATTGTGGCCAAGCCCAGGCACCGTCAGGACCGGGTCGGGTGTGCACAGGCTCAGAGAGTGCTGACACACCAGCCCCCTGCCGCCTCAGCCTCTGCTGGACTTTGGGTGCTGATGAGCATGGGAAGGAGGCCAGCAGGGGTAAGGGCAGCTCCAAGTGGGCCTGCAGGCACCTCTCGGCCCAAACAGCCTGGGCAGTGGAGGGAGGCAGACACAGGTTCCTGCCCCGAAAGGGGCAGGTCACATGTAAAACCCCATCTTCAAGCCAGGGATGACCTGAAGCCTGGGGTCCAAGTTGCAGGTTCCGGGTGGAGTCTGTGGGCTGCAGTAAGAACTTAGGGTGCTTTCTCCAGGCCATCCGTGGCCTCCCACGAACTAATCAGTACACATTTCCTCCATTCTGAGCCCATAAAAATCCCAGACTCAGCCAGACTCATAGATGTCCGGACCACCAGCTGTGGGAGGGAGCTGCCCACTTCCGGTCTCCTCATCGGATGACCTGCCTGCAGAAAGGAGCTACCCACTTCAGGTCTCCTGAGAGCTCTTCTGGGGCTCAATGAAGCTGCTCTCTGCCTTGCTCACCCTCCAGTCATCCACGTACCTCGTGTACCTCACTCTTCCTGGACACAGGACCCCTCAATGTTGGGGCTGAAAAAGTTGTAACGCAAACAGGACCAAAACATGCCCCCGCTCACCAGGTTGCGGGCAACAAGAAGGAGGGAAGGGCTGCAGCCCTTCAGGGACACCATACCTAGGGGCTCTCCAAGCCAGGGCTGTGACACCTTCTTTGGGGCTCTGCAGTTCCTGGCATCTCCAAGTTTCCAGGCATTACTGCATTCCCCAGTGCCTGCAGTGGAAGCTGCTTGTGGTACGCCTGGTCCAGCCACAGCCTTGCACCAAGCCAGTGTCTGTACTGGTGCCTGGAGCTGCCTGCCCTGCCACGGCTGGCACACCTGGCTGTGCACAGTGGCTGGACCCCACGCTCACTCACACACCACTTGCCGCTCCGCACCTGGCTTGCCATTGGCAGGCATGGGATCTGGGCTGGTAGTGCAAGCCGAGCGCAGCTTACCAAGCCAAGAGGGTGGAAAAAGCCCAGTGGACCCAAGGAAAACTCAGGCAAAAGCACCACTGGCCACATAAGTGTCCAGGTGCAAAAGCAACACCCCAAGGATCCCATGACATTATAGTTCTTTAAATAATTTTTTCTAACATTTCTAACATAATTTTTCTAACATTTCATGAGTATTTTCTCCTTTAAAATATTCTTCAAGATTACAACTTCATGGTGGCATAATATTCCACTTAAGGAAGTACTTCCTCAAAGAAAACATTTAAGTGATTTGAAGTTTTTCCCCATCATAAAAAAACACTGTGATAAATGATGAATATTATGCAAATATTTGCCTCTCTAATTAATAGCTTTTGGATAGATTCCTGGGAATTAAATTAATAGGTTAAAACCTTAAAAATGTAAACTTCTCAAATAATACCAAATTGTTTGCTACAAAGGTTACATACCAAGTTAGATTTCTGCCAGAAGCACATGAATTTCTTTTTCAAATTAAAAAAAAAAAATTTATTTAAAGCAAAGCCAGGCGCAGTGGCTCACGCCTGTAACCCCAACATTTTGGGAGGCCAAGGCAGGTGGACTGCTTGAGGCCAGGAGTTCAGCCTGGCCAACATGGCAAAAACCCACCTCCACTAAAAATGCCTAAAAAATAAGCTGGGGGTGGTGGTGCGTGCCTGTAATCCCAGCTTCTTGGGAGGCTGAGGCATGAGAATTGCTTGAACCAGGAGTGGGAGCTGTAGTGAACTGAGATCACACCACTGCACTCCAGCCTAGGGGACACAGCAAGATTCTGTCTCAAAAAATAATAATAATAATTTTGAGTTAAACGTTTAGAATTTATCTAATTTTGCTCATTTGATGGCATCTGGCATCTATTGCCTAACATGATGTTTATTTCTTTTCTATTGCTGATAAGATTAAACACTTAATTATAAAATTGGCTACCTATTGCCAGGCATGGTGGCTCATGCCTGTAATCCCAGCACTGTGGAAGGCCGAGGTGGGAGGATCACCTGAGGTCAGGAGTTCAAGACCAGTCTGGCCAACACGGAAAAACCCCATCTCTACTAAAAATACAAAAATTAGCTGGGTGTGTTGGCACACGTCTGTAATCCCAGCCACTTGGGAGGCTGAGGCACAAGAATCGCTTGAATCCGGGAAGTGGAGGTTGCTGTGAGCCGAGATTACATCACTGCACTCAACTACAGCCTGGGCAACAGAGCAAGACTCTGTCTCAAAAAAAAAAAAAAAAAATTTGGCTGCTTATATGTCATGTCATCTTCTATGATTTTCTTGTTCATGCCTCCTAACAATTTTTCTTTATATCCTTCATTGACTTACAAGTTCCTTTCATATTAAGGACTTCAACTCTTTGACATGTTTGCAAATATTTTCAGTTTTTAATTTTTATATCTTTTGGCTTACAAAGTTGTTCCTTAGTATCAGTTACTGTATTTACTGATTTCATCTCTGTTAGTTGTTAACTATTTAACCCTAATGCCAGTGGAATAAAGATAACCCTGATTTCTTTCCAAATAGTGAGGCAGAATCCTGTATCAGGCAGGCCATGTCTCAACATCTGCCAACACAGATGCCCCTGCTAAGGAAAGAGCTCCAGCTACCCAGAACTCTGCCACCTTGACCTCAGATGAACAGACCACAGTTGTAGGACTCTATCCCTTGGGTACCAAATAAGCTTTAGGAATACAGAAGAGGAAGGAAAAAACAGAGTTAAAGCAGTCAGGGAGAGCCATGTAGAAGAAGTGGAGCATCAGGCACAAGGACAGCAGCAAGAAAAAATAATAGAGCAGATTTAAAAAAGTACAAGATTTGTTCTGGTATGTGCCCCAACATTGGAAAAACACATATCAAGTACTTGCCAGGAACCAGACACTGTATCACGTTAAGATGATATAAAAATAATGAAGCAAACAGTGTAGATAACAGAAGACCAGTA